GATAATATAAAATGTCTCCAGACACTGCCAAATGTCCCCTGGGGGACAAAATGACCCCTGGTTGAGCACCACTGGCTAAGACCAAGCAGAACCCACCCTCCACCCTGGGACTGGATGAATCCTGCTTCCAGAAGGCATTTACCACAACAAATGTCAGGGCTCTGCCAGCATGGAAGAAAAGGCACATGGTGCTGGGCAGGCAGCCAACAGTGTTCCTCACAGCCAAAACTAGAAACAAACTCTATTTCTAATCCAGTACTTTTTTTTTTTGCAATCCCATGTTGCTTCAGTTCTTTCCACAGAGATGGCCTGAAAGCCTGCCAGGTGCCAAGTGCTGTGACAAAACAAAGGTGAAATAAGGTGAGCCAGCCTGCGTGGTCATTATAATCTGGGAGAATGGTAAAGCACTTCTGTAGAAGAACCACAGTGTGCCTTGAGGTCAAGTGCCATCAGGTGGGAGTGGCCAGAGAAGCTTCTTGGAGGAAGTGGCCTGTGCACTTGGATAAGCAAGATTATAATGGGCGGGTTGGGGGCCCAGGGAAGAACAAAAAATAGACTAAGAGGGAAGATAGGGTGCCCAAGGATTGTTAAACAAAACGTGATGATCAGGGGTAGGCTTCAAGGTTACTGAGCTAGGATCTACAGAGCAGGATAAAAATAAGTCTACAAAAAATAACATTGTAAAAACCAAAGACAAACAGAAATATTAAGAGCAGCCAGAGGGAAAGTGGTAGATTACCTTTAAATGACAATTCATAAGTTTGACAGCTGACTTCTTTCTCAACAGAAATAAGGGAAAAGGATACCAATGGGAAGGAAATCTTCAAAGTTCTTATAAATGAATAAATAGGCAGGCTAGAGCTATTTACCCAGTGAAAATATCCTTCAAGAGTAACAGTGAAGTAGATATTTTTAGATAGACAAAAACTGAATGAATTCTTTTTTACCAGAGGACCTGCACTAAAGGAAATTATAAAGACCCTTTCAGGCAGTAGGTAGATGATTCCAGATGGAAGCTTGGAGATGGAAAGGAAAGAGATTCAACAGAATGATAAGTATGTGAGTAAACCTAAATTAATCTTGTCTATCTGGAACAATAATGATGTATGTGACAATAATAATGATTTAGAGTTAAAATATTAATATAAAGAAAATTGAAATGCATGATTTATAAGTCGGGATGGAGTTATATGTTGTTAAAGTGTTATTGGGTCTTTATATTGACTGGAAAGAGGGTAAAGTACCAATTAATACTGAACTTTAATATGTAAAGGCCGAAACTTATAATCTAAGGTAATAATTAAAAGAATAGTAAAAATTTATAACTTCAAGCCAATAGGAGAGGGCAGAAAATGGAATAACTAAAAATAGTCACTCTAGAGGAAGGTAAAAAAAAAGAGAATATAGAACAGGCAGGACAAATAAAAGCACTAAGTTAAATGGTAGATTAAACCCAAGTATATAAATAGTTTTAAGTGTAAATGGATCATTTAAATGGCAAAGATTACCAGAGTGGTTTAAAAACCAAAGTGCAACTAAATTCTATTTGAAAGAGACACATCAAAAAATGTAAGGATAGAGAAAGATTAAAATTAAAGGGATAGAAAAATACACACACTAACATTCTACCCAGGGACTACAGAATGTATTTCTTTTCCATCTCACATGAGATCATTATAAGAATTGGTGATAGGCTGAGTCACACAGCAAGACTCAAAGAACTGAAATAATAGAGTCGGGTTCTGACCACAGTGCAATAAGCTAAACACCTTTGACAAAACTAGAAATAACAAAAACTGTATGTTTGGAAATTTAAAAAATATTCTTCTAAATAACCCATGAGGCAAAGAAGTCTTAATGCCAAGTAGAAAAGCCAGACCTGCATTCCCAGAAGGGCAGGTTGCCTCTCCTGACCTGGCCTGCCGGAGGTCAGCTGGGGGCAGTTTAGACAGCTAGCCTGTTTGCTCTGCAGCAGTTTCTCTGTGGAGTAGTGGAGGGGTATTGCGTCAATGCCAAGCACATACAGGAAAGGAGTTCTGCAAGTGGGAAAAAGAGGGAGCCTTGCCCAGAAGACCCGGGGCAGCCTGTTTGGTAATTGTTTGTGTAGTACCAGAGGGAGCACTGGTGAGCGCCCCACACAGTAACTACAAGGAAGCATCAAGGTGGGCGAGTAGACAGCCCGACAGTTTTTCACAGCGTCTTTGTTTTGCTTCCCATATCTGTAGTTTGAGGGTGGCAGCTCATCCCCAAACTCCGTTAGGAATGTATTACACAGGACACTCGGCATCTGTTTTTGTTTTTTTTTTCATACCCTCTGTACGTTGTGAAGCAGGAAAGTTTTTTAATTTGTGCTGCTATGATAAGGTATGATAGACAGGTGGCTAGGCTGGGAAGTCCAAAGGCACGGTGCTGGCAGGTCCAGGGGCTGTTGACGGCTCGCTTCCCGGAGTGTGGATGGCCATGTTCTCACTGCGTCCGAACGTGGTGGAGAGCAGGGAGGGGAAACAAGATCTCTCCTGTTCTTTTATAAGGGCACTAATTCCATTCATGGGGGCTCCACCCTCACGACCTAAGCACCTCCCAAAGGCCCCACCTTCTAATACCATCCCATTGGGGCTTAGGATTTCAGCATATGAATGTTGGGCATGGTGGGGGACTCAAACCTTCAGACCACAGCAGAAGTTGTTTCTACCCACGTTTGATAACATGGATACAAACCATCTGGTATTCATAGACCCAGAAATGACATATTTATTTGGTTTAATACTGTTATGCAGCAACATTCCCAAACAATGATGAAGAGAACAGTTGTATAACTCAGATTAGAGGACACTAAAATTCAAAATTGTCACACTTTCCTCCAAAAAAAAAAAAAAAAAATCACCATCTCCAGGAGGGCTTCCTCTTGGCCTGGATTTAGGCTTCTCATTTGCCCTACTCGAGATACCAATTCATAGAACTGTTCAAAGGTCAACAGTATGTTACCTTACAAAGTAAAGGGCTGTCAACATTCATCAACAGCTCTCCCAGGAAGGGGCGGGCATGTGGCTGAGCACGGGGAAAAGGGCGCAGGCTCTGCCGTCAGACAGGCTCCATCCAAATGCTAGCTCTGCCAGTTTCCCCACCTTTTCTGCGGAGTGGGGAGAGCACGGTCTACCTCAGAAGGTGATGTGAGGGTGTAATGCGGAACCTGCCACGCGCTCTCTCTCGTGCATAATGTTCGGTAAATGTGAGCGCCTCTGCCACTGTTCCCTGATGTGGGGTGTGGTGGGGCAGGTGACGCAGTACGTGGACTCCCAGGCCTCAAGCCAACCCCACCACGTTCTGTGACTTAATCTCCATTCTTCAGCTGGGCAGAGAAAATAGGGAGAGAATTTAGGGTAGCTTTTCTTCACCATAAATTAGCTGCTGTAGGTGAACCAGAGATGAACAACACACCTGACATCAGCTTTGAGACAAAAGTGTGCTGTCAACTCATATTAGCCATGATTTGTTTTAAATTTTTTTAATATTTAGTAGTGTTGTATTTCCTTTTGGGAATTAATCATGCTGAAAAGCCCAATTTTCCCTTTGAGTGCGACAACTTTTGTTTTAGCCACTTTAAAAGGAAGTTATTCTTGGAAGGTACTGCATACTGTTTCTTTTTGAATCTAAATATAATTTGCCTTTATAACTTGGGTCATTATGAATGTAATCTTTCATGCTGGCCTAGAGTTCATTTAAGCCATCTCTGAATCCAGTCTGATGGCCCTGCTCTACTGTGGCTGTAGCTACCTGCTCTTCTCTCTGCTTCTGGCCCTGCTGGGGGTCTTGGTCATGACAGAAAACGGAAAGCAAAAAGTGAAGCCTGGGGGCAGGGCGTGCCCCTCTGGGCTCCATTCCTTCTGTGCTCCTCTGTTCACAGGCCTTCCCTGCAGCGGCCACCTCCTGCCTTGTCCAGTGGATAGAGGCCCACAGTCCTTTTTCCAAAGGTGTCTCTCTATGCTTCTCAGTGGCCTTGACAGTGTCCCTTGGCCAGGCCTGAAGCTGTCACTTAGGCTGGGACTATGATGCCACAAAGGACTGTCACACCCACCCTTGCAGCCAGAGGTGGGGTCACTGACAAGTGGTGGGGAGGATGGTCCCCAAGAGAAATTAGGGTGGCTTTCCCAGAAGAGGGGAAGTGGGACAACATGACTCGTTAAAATTATACATGTAACCCTGTCATGCTGCCCTGCCCCTGGGGAAGTGTGTAACTACAGACCATTCTGGTAAGACAGCAAATCCTGCTGTGAATTCCCTCAGGATCTGGAGCTGCAAAAATGTGTCTTTTCCCAGTGAGTTGCCTTTTGTGCATTCAGAATCTCAAATGGGCACCTGGGTGCCCCAACCTTCCTCTCCCTCATCCCTGTGCTCACCCAAGTCAGTGGCACAAGACAACATTGCCATGCCTGGATCCCACTTTGGAGGCAGCGGCTGGCCCTGAAGGAGTGGATTCCACCTCTCACAGCACCAGTTCAGTGTGTCCTCCTGGTAAAGAAAGACCAGCCCACAGCGAGGGAGAGGACAGCCTGGGGTCTGGCTGGGCTCCCCCTGCACACGTGGCTGCTTGGAAGGTGTTTGCTGCCTCGTGCTGTCTGGCTCTAGACCGGCACGTCCACTGGACCTCTGTGTGGTGCTGGCAACGCCTTTACCTGTGCTGTCTGGTAACCACTGGCCATGTGGTTACCAGTTGGTTAACTGAGTATATGACATGTGGCCACTGCAACCAGGGGACTGATTTTTTAATTAATTTAATTTATAGCTACCTTGCCACACATGGCCAGTGTGTTAGTGCAATAATCTAGAGACAGGTAAGTTTACCAAATAACAGTCTGAGAGCTGCTAGTGCACATTCCCTCCCTGCGAGAAGGTGGGTTTTTCACGAACAGGCCCCTTCCAGTTTCATCCCTAGGATTGTATTTAGCAAAAAAGAGTATCATTATTTGATCCAAAAAAAAAAAAAAACACCACCAACAGAGTAAATGAACAAAATAAAGCTTTATTGACCTCCCTTGCAGATCGTTCTGAGGCCCTGGACCACTGTCCAAGTTTCTATCAGCACTGCGGGACCTAAGCCATTTCGTAAATAGCGCCGTTAACTACAGTCCACTAAGTCCGGGCCATGGCTCTTTGTTGCTAAGCCCATGACAAAGACCACTACTCAGTATGTGTGCGTGTTGCAGTCAATGCCACATCCCGGGTGTTACAGGTGTACTCACCTGGTCACCTAAGAGGCCAGCACAGCCCTGTCCCAAAGTAGGTGCTCAGTACCCCAGGCAGCCCTTGAACCCCGACACAGCCAAGAGGCCATGTGGGGTAACCTGCAGGCAGAGAGGAGGAAGGCCTCTCCCTGCTCTCAGACACACAGCTTGCAGGGCCACCTACCCCTGTGACCACACCACCAGCCCCTGCATTTTTAGCTGAGAAGTAAGCACTCGGTGGCCTCACAATCTACGTCATCTTGTTCAGAGGACTTAAGGCACATTTAAAAAGAGAAAGAGACTGGATTCAGAGCTCCAAGTTTCATCATTTGACCTCAGTGGTTCTTACTGCCCCAACCACAGGATGAAGGACAGGCAGAGTTTGCAAATTCTAGCCAAATTAGTGCTCTGGCCAGTCACCTGAGTTTTCACGGGCTTCTGTGAACGACCCCACCTATTTGGAGTGCGTTAACTGCACACCAAGGCGGGGAGGTGGATCTTTCCAGAATCACAGCTTAAAGAAACAGAACATGACTATCGTAGCTTCAGAACTAACAGGTGAGCACGTTCACCCCATCACTCAGGAGTTAGCTCCATGATACACAAGCCAGGCACTGGAGAAACAGACACCAGGAAAGGATGCTGCAGGGCCTGGAAGTTCTCAAGACATCTGTTTAGACAAAGGCACAGACATCTCCAGTTCAGATTTCCAAATACTCTTAACAATAATTAAAAGTGCACTCGCTGATCCCCAACACGTTTACCCACAGTAAAGGAGAAAGGAGATTTTCCTAACTCTTAAGTGTTACAAAGAGCATGCATGAGTCAATCCATATGTTACACTGGAGTTCCTGCTCATTAAACTTCTAAAATATAAAAGTATAAAAATAAAATCTCTGCCATTTGCATCTAGAAACATCTGGAGAAAACACAATTGCTTCTAGTTCTAAGTTATCTGAGCAGGTGCACTTTACCAGGTGTCTCTTCTTCCTGTGCTGTCTCAAGAGGGTACAGAAACGGAGATGACCATGCCTTTTCATTCCAGGAAACCACAGTCGGTACTCTAACCATGTCTGGCAGTGCCTCTTGGGTGCACTTCTGCATCTCCAAGGGAAGGGAGAACGGGCTCTCGGCTCCATTTTGCATTAGAGCGGTGTGGGTCACTGCTGGGCTAGGGCTGCTTCTGGGGCACAGGACGAAGCCAAACCTCAAAGCCACCTCTGAGAAGGACAGGCCGGGGCATGGCGCTCAGTCTCTCTGAGAGCCCAGGCAGAGGCGCCTTGTTACTTCACGGCAGCCTGCTTGTCTTTGCACTTCTGATAGGCGCTCTGGATCTCTGTGATGACGCTCGGGTCCTCCAGGGTGGTGGTGTCCCCCAGGTCCTGACCCTCACTAGAGATTATCTTCCTCAGGAGCCGCCGCATGACTTTTCCAGACCGGGTTTTTGGAAGACGTTTCACCACCTGGCAAGGAACAGGCACAGCATTAGCGTGGGGTGGCACCCGTGTGGGCTGCACTGAGGCAGGGACGGCCCTGCTCCAGGCTGATGCCCCTCCCTGGGGACTAAATAGTGGCTGATATGTAGCCCCCGCCCCAGCTAGAGAATGGTGGGGGCCTGTGGCCTATGGCTTTATCCTTCTGCAATCTGGACCTGAAGCTGGAATCAACCCAGAGGGCAGGACCAACCACAAGTCAGGGACGTTGCTGAGCCTTCCATCAGCCAAGGTCCGCCTCACCAGGTTCGCCCCACGCTGACACCTCTGCCTGTCCCATCAGCTACGCCACGTGCAGGTGCCCAGGTAGCAACAGGTCTACGCACATGCCATGGCACCTCATCTCCATCCCCCGGCTGGGGACTTAGTTGGTTTTGTCTTACATAAGAAGTGAGAGCAACTTTAGAGAAAAATTTTGTCTTACTTGGTGTTTGCAGATTTAACACTTCCACCAACCACGGCCCATTCGGTGCAAATGGCAATACATTCGTTCAGAGCTATGTCTGGGATCTCTGATAGTGACCCTGTCTTTTTTTTTTTTTTTTTTTTTGAGACAGAGTCTCGCTTTGTTGCCCAGGCTAGAGTGAGTGCCATGGCGTCAGCCTAGCTCACAGCAACCTCAAACTCCTGGGCTCAAGCGATCCTCCTGCCTCAGCCTCCTGAGTAGCTGGGACTACAGGCATGTGCCACCATGCCCAGCTAATTTTTTCTATACCAATTAATTTCTTTCTATTTATAGTAGAGACGGGGTCTCGCTCTTGCTCAGGCTGGTTTTGAACTCCTGACCTTGAGCAATCCGCCCGCATCGGCCTCCCAAGAGCTAGGATTACAGGCGTGAGCCACCGCACCCGGCCTAACCCTGTCTTTTGAAATAGTTCAGTTCACCTAAGGGAAGTGCAGATCTCCTAAAGTTCTGGTTGCCAGGCAACAGTGTGAACTTGTACAATCCCAAGTGAAGCTGGGGCCCCTCCTGCCTCAGAGGACCAGCAAACCCAGGACTCGCTGTGGGAAATGCTAACAAGGAAGGAATAGAAAAGGTAAAGGTGCTGCAATGGTGGCCCAATGAGCCCCCAGAACTGACACCCTCAGAGGGGAGTCTGGGGGTCTCCCACACTGGTACCAGAAATGTGCTCAGAAACCACGTGGGGGCTAGAGAACTCTGGTACTTTCCATGTGTCTCTCATTAAAATCCCTAATTTTCTCTACCACCCAGCCTGTTCCTGTAACTAGCCTCCAGACGCCAAAGTATGCGAGCATCTAATGTTGCCAAGAACTACCTTCCGAACAGGCCAGTGGTGTCAGCTTTTGGTGCCACATCTCCCATGCTCTCTGCCCCTCTCTCCAACACACAGTGACCCCCATCCTCACCCGCCACCCAGGAAAAACCAAACCACTGATGTCACTTTCGATGCCGGTGAGGAAAAGGCAATATGCCCACCGAAGATCTCTGCTACATGATGATCGTGGCAGGCGGCTTGCGGAGTGCTGCTCAGTCCCACCCGCGGGGCCACTCACCAGGACCTGGTCAGGCACGGCATACTTGGCGATCTTGGTGGCCACTGCCAACTTCAGCTCCTCCACCACCGCGTCTGAGTCGCTGGTGTTATCTTTTAACACGATGAAAGCAAATGCAGCTGGAAGGAAAACAGAGGTTTGGGATCGGTCAGATCACAAACCATCTCCCAAGGCAGAGTATTGTGCACAAATTGCTACAAATGCAAAGGATTGTTTAATCATGTTAAATGACATTGCAGCAGCTGGTTTCTTTGGCTGCAGCCCCAAAGACGCACTTCTGTTTTGTGCAAAATGGAAGCAATTCCAACAGCTCCACCAGCGTCCCGGGTGGGTGGTCAGTATGGTTGAGGGGTTGGCACAGCAGCTCTGGTGCTGACTGGCCATGTGTGACCTGAACACAAGGCTGCCCCCGTTTCCTCATCTGTGAAATAACCCACAATGCGGGCTGACAGTGATGCGGGACATACGTGAGACAGTGACATAATGCGGGACATACGTGAGACAGTGCACAGACACACGGCCAGTGGGCACCAGGCACACAGGCATGTGTATCTAACACAGTAGCCACGAGCCATAGCAACTATTTAAATTAAATTAAACTGCAGCTCCTCAGCTACATGAGCCACATTTCAAGTGCTGCTCAACCCCACGGTGGCCAGTGGCTGCTGTATCAGAGCAGAGAGTTCTGTTGGGCAGTCCACATTTTAGCACAAGTAACTGGTGTTCCAGAAAGGGCTTATGGTGTGTCCTGCTGTGACACAGGGATCTAATTTATCACTCTCCACGTGAGCAGTCACTTGTCCCTGCACCATTTCTGACCACCTGCCCTTCTCCACTGGCCTGTAGCGTGCCCTCCCTCACACACGGATTCTGCATACGTGCAGCTCTCCCAGCGTTCATCCGCACCAGTTCCGCCTTCACTCATCCTTCCACAGCACACGTCCGCTAGCACACTGGGTGGCTCCTCAGTGGTCATGCTCTCCCTCTACCCCGACCCCTCCAGCATGACCACTCCTCGAGGGCAGGGACTTTTGTCTACGTTATTCATTGCTGTGTCTCCAGCACCTAGAACCACGCCTGGAACACAGTGGGTGTTCAACAAATGTCTGTTAAATTCATCAGTGGATGATTGTTTCCTGAATAAGCTACAAAGATCTATAGCTTTTGCCTGAAAAGTCCCCCCACCCCATTTCCACCTGCAAAACTCCTATGTATCCCTCAAAACCCAGTTCAGCCACTTTCCACCCTGTGAAGCCTTTCCTGACTGTGGCACGTGCTGTGTGGGACAGTTGTCAGTGCCCCCACTGCCACCCCACCAGGCTGTGGGATCTCTGAGAGAAAGAACCACATTTCTCTCTTTGGTAGCTGAGATGGGATCAGAAGTGGGCCTGGACTGTTGAGCTCTGACAGCAGAGGAGGGAGGAAACCCTCCACGCGGGATGAGGAGTGGCTAAGAGCCAGGAGAGGCACGTGAGGCCCAGGATGTTGGAGACGAGAAAGACAGAGCCTGGGCAGAGGCGCCAGAGGCTCACTGGGTCCAAGAGGCAGGGGCTCTCCCTACTCAGATCTAGCGCAGAACAGAGGGGTGGGAACAAAGGCACAACAGTGCTTACACGTGGCTTTAGGGCTAACCAAGAACTGTAATGGGATACTCATGAATTACAAGTGAATAGATGCTCAGTTTGTTAGAAATCAGGAAAATGCACATCATTATACCCATGATGGACAAATTCTCCCCACCAGCCCGGTACACGGTAAGAGGCCAGTGATGCCAGACGTGCTTAGGTGCAGGGAGAACTGCTGAGCGTGGCTGATGGGAGCAGGAAGTGGCCTGAGGCCTCTGGGAGCACTGGTGTCACTGCCCTGCGGCCAGCACCCTCACCTCTCGGGAGGCCCCAGAGACGGCCCTACACACACAGAGCAGGTCCCGGGCAGCACTGCCCACGGCAGTCCACACCCCAACACGCCCCGCCCAAACCTGAGGCTGCCCTACGGGACACAGTCATTGTGATGTCCCTCACACACCATTTAAAGTTCACTTACCAGTGCGCCTTCCTTGATCTTGCACTTATTTCCTGGGGTTCATCCAGGGGCTGAGGAGCCCCCAGACAGGGTGGAACATGCCCGGGGTCACGGGCCCCAGCCCCAGGCCCTGAGCAGGAGGCACTGGCTTGGCCACAGGCTCAGACACAGGCAGGGCTTTCCAAACCCCTACCTGTGAGACACAGAGATCCCCAACGGAGGGGCCTAGACTCCTGCCAGTGTGAGGTGCCTTCAGGGGGACACTAACTCACCCCCAGTCACACGTGAGGAACTGCTCCTGTGTCCACTCTCTTCCGATCCTCCTGATCTTGTCTAGACATCCCCGAGGGGCACCAGCCCCTAACGGCTCTCCCACACCCCAGCCTCCTGGCACGTGCCAGCAGCCCCACCGGCACACCCTTTTTCATGGCAACTGAAAATTCAGTTTCTAAAGCAGTTAAATTCTACACTTGACAATGGGTTAGTTTAAAGAAAGTGTTTGAGTAAATAATGGAACAGTGGCATAAACGTGGCAGGGAGGCAGGTGACATCTGGGACATAGGATGTTCCTGGCAGCAGGAGGGCAGGCCCAATCCCGTGTTCCTGGCAGCAGGAGGGCAGGCCCAATCCCATGTTCCTGGCAATAGGAGGGCAGGCCCAAACCTGTGTTCCTGGCAGCAGGAGGGTAGGTCCGACCCCAGGCCACTGGCAAGGCAGAAGAAGCCAGTCTGCCTGGCAGCACCCTTGCCTAGGGTCAGCGTGTCCAGGTCACATCAGGTCAGCATGGTGGCTGTGGACCTGGCCTTGCAACGCTCGGGTGCTCCTGCCCTTCCCAGGCCCAGCACTGAGACACTGGTGGACTTTGGAACAAAGCGTGTCTGTTGTAAAGAAGACCATTCCAATCACTCGTTCTGCATCCCTGGCATGTCGCTGAGCTGCAGGAATCACAGGGCACACTGACATGCAGGTGTGATGGCCGCAGAACTGGCTTAGGTGCTGTGACCCAGCCTGTGAGCACGGAGGACACATGTGTGGCTGGAAATTTTGTTATAAACTCGCTGTAACATGGCTGGACAGTGTCCCAGCCAGATGCACCATGGACAGAGGAGGACACTCCCAGGCTCAGCGGGCGCCAAATGGGTCATGACTCCTTGGGAGTGAGTATCCTTAGGGGACAGCAGAGCCGGGCATCTCAGCAGCCTGACCGGACACATGCGCTGCTCAGCCTCCTCACCCAAAATCTCCCTTGAGAGAGAACCAGCAGCTTGACCCATAGAAACCCCCAGCACCCCACTCGCTCTCTGGAGTCTGTCCCTGGGCCTGGTGCTCCTCTCTCAGATGCTCACCTTCTCCTTTGATGTCGTGGGGGTAGCCGATGACAGCAGTTTCCGGCACCGCAGGGTGGTTAGCCTGTGCGTAACAGGGAACGAAAAGGCAAAAGGTGGCAGGCTCCGCGGGTGCTGGCGGTGACTCAGCGCAGGGATGGCCACCCCCAGCTGAGCCCACAGGGGTATCACGGAGAGTTGGGCAAACGAGAAGGCCTGGCCTGTGCTCACCATGGCATCCTCGATCTCCGCGGTCCCCAGCCGGTGGCCACTGATGTTGATGACGTCATCCATCCTCCCTGTGATCTGGTAATAGCCGTCCTCGGTTCGGCAAGCCCCGTCCCCAGTGAAGTAATAGCCTGCACGACAGCGGGGAATTCAACACCAGGAACTCGGAGCCGACCCAGGGCCCTGCCCTTCCGTGAGGGACACAGGGGACCACGACCCTCCTCACTCTCAGCACCCGCTCAATTCCTGGCTGGGGTCCCCCCGCAGCTCCTAAGGGAGACGCTTCTCTACACGGCACTATCTGGCCACATTCTAGCGGCTCCAAAACAGCAGAACACAGAAGACGTCAAGGTGTCGGCAGAAGGTACAAGCCCCACATTCAAGACGCTCAAAAGTGAGTCTGGTCTACCGGCTTTAGACTGAAAACTGCCAGTTCCAACAAGGCAGAGGAGACGGCGTCTTCGTAAACTTCCAGCCAGTGACACAAAGCAGATGGAGGAAAAATAAAAGAGAACTGGAAGAACTCCCAGCCTTCGTGACAGCTGCCCAAGGTGGCTTTGTGGCCCTTCCTTCCTAACAGGATGCCCAGCCCGGGCCAGGTGCCGCGCTGAAGAGCTTCACCCCCACGCCCACCCCCCAAGGAGGGCCCTGAGGTGGGACGTGCCCCCACGTCTGAGATAAGGAGAGTCATGGAGGGGCAGCGACAGGGCTGGGGGGGAGGGGGGGAGGGGGAGAGGGCAGACTCAGGCCTCCACGCTGCCACGCTGCACTCACAGCTGCCAGAAAGTTGGAAACATTTTCTGAGAATGTGATTCCAGCAGTCAACGAAAAGGCTGAGAGGACCCACGCTAGCCTGCTCACCTGGATATGCCTTGAAGTAGGCGTCCACGAACCTCTGGTGGTCACCATAGATGGTCCTGGCCATGCCCGGCCAGGCCTGGGAGATGCACAGGGCGCCGGAGACGTTGCCGCCCTGCACGGTGTTTCCCTACAGAACAGGGGGACGTGAGCGAAGGGGCCGGTTCTGGGTAAGGACAGTCGTTCTCCTAACTGCTTGGCCCCAGGCCGGAAAGCAAGCAGCATGCCTGAACTGAACTGTCTATAGTTCAGTTGCTCCTCCGTGAGGAGTCTCCGCAGGGCTGCGCAGGAGGGCCCTGGGCTCGCCCCACGCCAGGATGTTGCTCAGGGTGTTTCTCTGAGAGATGCCGAAATGAATGGTGCCTGAGGACACGGCCCTCCCTCCAGGTCCCGGGGAGGTGGGCAGGGAGGGAGCAGGCCCGTGCACCCTCTGTGAGGCCTGTGGCACACACCTTCTCATCCATGAGGACAGGGACGATGCCAAAGAAGGGCCTCATCGCCATGGCAGGGAGGATTTCCGCCCCTTCTTCCGAGGGCCGTGGTGCGATGCAGATGCCACCCGTTTCTGTGGGGAGGATGAGGAGCAAACACTGATTGGCCTAGGAGCTGGTGACACGCTCGTCCAGCCCTGCCGTCAGAGGGCACTGGCACTCTCCCAGAGTGGGCCGGGGCACAAGGACCTTTGTCTGAGGCAAGCCAGATGTGGGTCCTGGTCCCCTGCACCCAGGGGACCCCTGTCCCCTGCACCGCAGAAACAAGAGGGGCCCGTGGCAGGTTCAGTCCCAGAAGCTCTGGTGTCCCACAGCAGGTGCAGGCAGCCCCGTTGCTTGAATGGGAGAGAGCAGAGTCCACCCGCTTACATGGGGACACGCGGAAAAGAACTGGCCCAGCCGGTGCCCGCGTGACAGGGACCCAGCAATGCAAAGACAGGCCCTCGCACGCTGCTGTCACGTTCTCTCCAGCACGCGCCTCTACCAGCCTGTAGCATGCACGTGTCTCGTGGGGCTCGGATGTAGGGACCCTATCCTGTGCCTTCCTGAATAGATGGGACCTGCACCATCAGGACGTCTCACTTTCTGGCTTTTGTAAGGCTGAGACCGCAGATGGTTACATTTATTATATCCGTGGTGGTCTCTTGCCCCAAATATCCTAATAAGTCACACACCCAAGAGAAGGGGGTACAAATCCAAACTAAATGTCACAGAAAAAATTCCTTTCCCACTAAAATTTAAACTTAGGCTCATGGTCCCTTAGACAATAGGGTCTGTCCTCATAGATGCGCCTGGGTTCAGAAAGGGTCCCCGAACCAGGGAAGCGAACACTGAGCTCCTCCTGCACGCCAGGCCTTGAGCAACACACCATAGCTGTAGCACCTCGTTCACCCTCTCCCAGACCCCTGGGAACATTCCCACCTCGCAAAGGAGGAAACCAAGGCTCACAGAAGTCAGGACACACGGTCTGACAGCTGGAAGTGGCAGCCAGGTGACCTCGGCATTCTCTGGCTCCAGACGCCAGGTTTACAGCAGCCTCATGCCGACATGAGCGTATTCGCTCACCGCACTAGCTGCTGAGAGCTCGGACCCCAGGCCCAGCCTCACACCCAACCCTCCAGACGTTCCCCAGGCGCGTCTCGACTCCTCCCGCAGACGGTCTCACCTGTCTGCCACCAGGTGTCCACCAGCGTACATCTGCTGTCACCCACCACCCTGTAGAGCCACTCCCAGGCCTCGTGGTTGATGGGTTCTCCCACTGACACCACACGGGAAAGAAAAAAGATGTTAACAGACTTCAAATAAACCTGAAACCAAAAGGAACAGATATTAAGGGGAAAATATCTCTACGATTTTTCTCAAGGACATACAAGGAGACCTGAAAGTGCAGTGAGACACACCATATTTACGGTCATCAAAGAAATACAAATTACATTAAGGTATTCTCACCATTAGGTGACCAAAAACCAAAAAGTGGGCAAGAATGAAAAAAAGGATTTCATAATCACAGTAGGAGTATAATTGGTACAGCAATTTGGCGGAGCAATTTGGATACTTCTCTTAATATTTCCAAGTACACACACCCAATACAACTACTTTGGACAACTGTTCAAGGCAGAATCTACTAAAGCCAAACATATGTTTAGCTTATTACCCCAAATTAGGACTCCTGACATACGCTCCACAGAAATGAGGCAGATACCACGGAAAGCAGACATGTGCACGGATGCTCGCAGCTGCCCTGTTTGTGACAGCCAGAAACTACACACATCCCTCCAGAGTGGAATGGGTAAGTGAGTCATGGTGTGCTCGTGCAATGGAATCCACAGAGCAATGAAGAAAGCAAACCCCTGCCACCACCGCAGCACAGATGAGTCTCGGTTATGACACAGAGCAAGGGAAGCTCATGCTGTGTGACCCCATCCATGAAGCAGTCCATGGTGAAGGAGGTCACAGGGGTCGTGCCTGGGTGATTGACTGGGAGGGGCATGAGGGAGCCCCTGGGGACTGCCATTCCTACAGCTCGATCTGGTGCTGGTATTGTATGTATGTAGGTGTCCCCCAAGTGAGCGCTTTAACATTTGTATATTTTAGTGCATTTTATACCTTACTGAAAGGAAAAAGACGTGCATATACCCCAGGAGTCTACATCCCAACTTCTCAGTGTGTACCCTAATGAAATACACACACATGGCTGGCATTCAGTCGGAACTCGCCAGTTTAGACACACTGTTGCCAAAATAGTGCTGGTGGCCTCTGGCTCAGGACCACCCACAATCCTACGCCTTTCCTGGCAGGGGCCTCCCGTGTCTGTGCTGCGTGGCCAGGGCTGTCACACGGGTGGCTCCGTGTTTTGTGTGCTGCCCTGCACCTGTGAATCCACGAGGGGCAAGACACCCACTGCAGCGTTGGTGGACACACTGTCAAAGAGCCGACGGCCACACATCCAACCTCAGGGATATGTCTACACAAACCACGGCAATCTCCACAGTAACGTATGAGTGAGTTTTCAAAAACCAGGGCTGATACGTATGGAAAACTGCAGATTGTTGGCTCAAAAGAAACATTACAGGATAATAGCACAGTGTGGTAACTTTCACTTGAAATCAAACGTCTCTGAACAGAACTGTACCTAGTAAAGGAACATAACTGCGCAGAAGGGGCCGGAAGATATAGGAGTAATAGGGTCCCCTGGAGCGGCCAAGTGGATCAGCTTGAATTGCGATGTCCCTATTCTTTTTACGAAAAGGATGTATCTGTGTGTTACTCATGAAATTGAAGGTCTAAAAAGCTTGTTTGGGAATGACAAATCCTGTCTTGAGTGAGCTGGATTCTGACGACTGGTGGACCAAACCAAGGCAGCGAACCCAGGGCCCGGTGTATGGTGAGGGCTGATCCAGCGGCCTGGAATCGGCCTGAGCTGCGGTCCCACGGTAACAGACCAGTCAAGGCACGAGGCACACTGATCCCCAGCACCGCCCTGCATCCACCTGTGAGCGTCTCCGGGGCTCCACACCTGCCAGCCAGCACCGCGTACTGGTAACAGTGAGACTGGTGATTTGCACCTGGTCTCCCATGGGGCTCTGCTGTTGGCACTGGTGGTGCAGTTGTAATGTCCCATAGACCAGCTAATGACACAAAACCCAGCTGGGCCTCTGTGTGGGGCTGGCTCTCGGTTCAGAGGTATTCTATGCACATATCAGTGGCCCCTGATCCAAGACAGACATGCGTCTGGCCAAAGCCCTTCCACAGGGAGGACAACAGGAACCTGCACTTGGTCTCTGGGGCCCCCTGGGTGAAAAAGCCACAGGGACGTACAACCCCACTCCAATGCAGTCACCAGAGCACATCCTTTCCGGAAATATACTTGTCACTGGACCCTGTGAGTATCCTTAGCAACTAAATCCCGTGAGTGCATCCGGAAAATCAAATCTCACCCTTCACCCCTGTCCTTACCTAACTCCAGGTGACCTTGCAGACAACACCTGGAGGACCTGGGAGAGTTTCCATGGCCCTGGCCACCCCCATTTGTTCCTGGTCCCTGAACACGGTGTGGCCCAGAGTGCATGGGCAGATGACGGTCCCCTGCGCCTGTCAGGGCAGTCAGAAACACAGGGGCCTCGCCATCCACAGCTCCAACATGCTGAGACAGGCCTCGGACTCACCACCTGCTGTGGTTTGGATGTTCATCCCCTCAAATCTCATGTGAAATCTGCCACTGTAACAGTATTCAGAGGTCATTAGGCCCTGAGGGCTCCCCCTCATGGGTGGGATCGGTGCTGTTGTAAAAGGGGTGAGTTTGCTCACCCCTCTTGCTCTGTCTCATCCTCTCTTTGCCCTAGTGTCATGGGATGATGCAGCAAGACGGCCCTTGTCAGGTGCCGGCACCTTGACATGGGACTTCCCAGCCTCCAGAAGTTCACTATAAATGCGCAGTCTCAGATGCTGTTCCAGCAGCACAAAATGGACTAAGACACCACCTTCTAGAAAGGAGCCAGTGCCCTGGCTGAGTGGTCAAGGGCAGGGAGCCACTGCAGGTGGGAGAAGTGGTGTGGACCAGGGCCCCAAGACGCACTGGGGTGCTGGGGGTGGGGGCAGAGGTGAGTAAGGTTTACCGATTCGGGGGCCAGGAACCGGGCTCAACACAGGGCCCCCTACTTCCTCACTGAGTGATCTGGGTAAATCCGTTGACCTCCCTGTGCCTCAGTTTCCTCCTTTGTGATATGGGGGCAACATTAGTGCTTAGCTCACAGGGCTGATGTGAAGATATAGGCATTTAGTAAATATTAGCTCTTATTAGTGGTATTCAAACCTCTCCCATTTTTTTAGTCTAGAAAGTTCTTTGAGAAACAGAGAAGGTTTTCACTGTTAAGGTAAAAGTAAGAGGCAAGAGAAGAGTGCCTCTGGGTGCCCCCACGGGCAGGGGCTCTCCCACTGATCCTCACTTCCACACCTGCACATCAATTCATGGCTACACGCATATCCTCTGTATCTTCCTCACCACCCCGTAGGGCGGGCCCCAGCCCATCTCATGCTTGGGAGCACATGGTAGGCTGGCGGGCCATGGCCCCAGCAGTGGTGCCTCTCAGCCTGCGCCTGGACAGCCTTGCGATTGGTCACCCCACTAGTAACGGAGCACACACTCACTGCACCCCCTTTCCTAAGGATGCATTAGGCAGAAATGGTCACCACATGCTACATGCTTCCCCTGCGAAAAAACACCAAGCAGGTGGTGTATTCTCCCAAGGAGCATGGAGGAGGCCCCACCCTTCTGTTCCTTGCTGACCACACGTGATGTGTGTTAAGGCAGAAATGAAATGCAGCAGGGAAAGGAGAGAGACGAACAGCAATCCACGGAGCCCAGCACCTCCTAGCAGGGGCCCAAAGGACATGGGCATTCCACTCCCGCCACTGTCTGAACCGGCCCCACCCTCACATTTCCAAAACACTTCCACGTGACTTGGCACCATCTATCGAAATTACAGAACCTTTGAACTCTCTGCGTGGAGATGTCTACAGGAAGAGCCGTGCAAAAGTACAGGATGGTGTTTATCACATAAACTTGGGAAAAGCCAGAGCATCAGCAATGGGGGAATGTTTAGTAAGTTACAGTTATTACAGGTTAAATCCCATACAGCCACTGAAGAAAAGACTTGGCCCTGAACTTACCGAGCTGGGAAGTATTCATAATAAAGATTAAGCTACAGAACTTGGGCACAGAAACACTGGCACGGAAAACATCTAGAATGATGTTCCCCAGGCTGGTAACAGCTGCCGGCTCCAGGGAGGGAGGGGCTTACAGGTAGGAACATCTGCTTTCTACCAGCCCAGGTCTGGCGTTGTGTGAATTCTCCACCACGTACACGTGCTGGCGGACTCCGGCAAGCACACCTTCTCCTGCCACAGAGCGGCCGCTCACCTGACCCCAGGGTCCGCAGGGAGGAGCGATCGTACTTCTTCACCCAGGAATCGCCGTGTTTCAGCAACAGCCGGACGGCCGTCGGGGCGCCATAGAACTGGTTGATCTTTAACCTCTGCACCGTCTCCCAATACCGACCTATGAAAAGGCCCAAATTCACCGTCAGCGGGAGAGCCCACCAACATGACCTACTGCAGACTTAGCTGGAGATAAGCCAAGGGTGCCTGAGTGCTGGGTGCATGCGGACATCTGCCTGTGTTCATAGAAAGACGGAAGGGAGGCCCTGGGCACAGGGTTCCCGGTGGCAGCTCTCTGCCCAGAGCTCCCCAAATCCAAAGGCATCCGCACATTTGGGAACAGTCTCCACCCGGCTTTGGAAGACTGAATCTACACAATGTGACCCGCATGACCTAGCGAGAAATTAGTTCAGAGCGATATTACTGAATTTAAAAAATAACCCATGTGGCATTAACACAGAACTTCCACTCAGTCACACTTAAACAACCTCTAAAGTGCTAACTGGTGCTTCCCCTAGCGACAGTGCCACCACCACTGTGCATGTCCCAGGGAGCAGGGCACATGCCCAGCATGCCTAGCCTTAATTCCCATAAACCCCAACACCTCACACCATTCCCTCTGCACAGGATGCCGAGTGCCCCGTGGCTGAAGTGGTGCCTGAGACCACACCCGGGCTGCGGCCCTTAACTCCTAACTTTGCTCCCACACCTTCCTCAAGCACATCTAGCCACCGAATGGATGGACGGGGCAAGGGGAGGTGACCACGAAGCCCATGCACGACTGTCAGCAATGTGGAATGCTCCAGCAAGAGCCCTTGGGCAGAGCCACCGTCATTTAATTACATTGAAACAAATACTTGGGGACACTGTGCTGTGTGGGAGGAAGATGCCAAGGAAGCAAGACGTGCCCCTGTCCTCAGAGCAATCTCAATTTAATGGGGGTGGCTCCAGGCCACACACAATGTGGTCTAGGGAGACAGCCCCAGAGGCGCAGGCTGCAGGGCTGGGGAAGTGGAGCTGGCCCTGGCTTCAAAGAAAGGCTGGATCTGGTCAGGTGGCTCTGTGGGTGAGACGGACAATGCTAAGGTGATGGCCCAAGGCAGGCAGCTTCAGTTGGAGGGACAGGAATGCTGGAGGAGGACAGGAATGCTTGAGATGTCTTCAGGCTCCAGGTCAGATTCCCTACCACTGCTCGTCTGACCTTCCTGCACATGAGGCACCACCCCAGTCCACCCAGTGGCTGCAGTGTCAACTCAGCAGCCAGTCAATGGACCACAAGAACCACACCCTTCCCAGAGCCCAGGCTGCCACCATCCTGTGAACCTCTCAGGCCTCAAGCTGCCTCCCCTACACCCAGCACAGGGTCCCAAACACGGTCCTGGGTCCTCACCAGCATCAGGGTAAACCGGTGTACTCTCAAAAAGCACGCTGGTAGCTCCATTGCACAGGGGTCCGTACACCACGTAGCTGTGTCCTGTGATCCAGCCGATGTCGGCAACGCAGCCAAAGATGTCGCCTGGCTTGTGGTCAAACACAAGCTGCGGACACAGGAGGGAGCTGTAAGGAGCCTGTCCTCACGCCCCACTACGTTCCCACACCTCACTAGGAAATGGGCACTCGTGTGCAGCCACCAGCAGAGGGGCGAGTGCGTGCACTGCAGGAGTTGCATGCCACACACTGCAGCGGAAAGGCAGGATGAAACAGACAAAAGACCATGTGCTGGACGAGCCCATGGAGGGAAGCTCACAACCAGACACAGCCAATCCACACAAGGGGGCGAAAGCTGGGGTGAGCCTGCAAGGGGCAGGCAGAGCTTTCTGGGGCTGGAGACATGCATGTGGGAAGTCACAGGGGTACACCAGAGGGAAACTTCACCTAGTTGTATGTTGAAGATATGGGCACTTTTCTGCATTGCCTAATGCCACAATTTTTTTAAAAAATCCCTTAGAAACTACAAAAAAAAAAAAAAAGCAAAAAAGGGCAAGAAAAAAAAAAAAAAGCAAAAAAGGGCAAGAATCGCATCAAACATCATTAGCCTCAAAGAGCGTGAGAAGGGAGACATCTGCATCTCCTGCATTCTTGCCACAGGGTCCCATCCGAGCCTGACTCCATCTCAGAATCCAACACAGCCCGTTAGCAGGAAACACAGAGGACAGGGGGACAACTGACTTGAGCCAGGACATGGGATACCAGGGACAAACAGCTAGACTCTACAATGGCCAGGGTTAAGGCAGTGAAAGGGATGGAGGGGACCCATAGGTTACAAAAGACTTAACAGACGTCAAAAATATTTTAACGTGCAACAGTAAGCTGTGATGTCCAAGCATGCACAGTTGAGTGACAAAACTATAAAGAAAACAAAACTAAACAAGACAGGACATGGAGGTGGGGCTGTGGCCAGACAGCCACAGAAGGGGCTTCCGGGAGGCTGGCGGCATTCCATTTCTTGACCAAAGTGGCATTTGCCTTACGATAATTCATTTTGCCATTCATTTGATTTAGGTGGTTTTCTGTGTCTGCCCTGCCCCTGCCCAAAGCCCAGTGGGGGCATGGCACCCCCGACAGGAGACCGCACCTTGTGAGTCATGGCGGCATACAGCAGGTAGCCCGCCTGGGTGTGGACGAGCCCCTTGGGCATCCCGGTGCTCCCTGAGGTATACAACAGGAAGAGCATGTCCTCGCTGCCCATGCTCTCTGGGGCGCACACAGGGGCCTCCTTGTCCATTTCCTGGAAGCAAGAAGAAACACACACCCCAGCCAGGGCACTTAGCCTCCCCCCCTTCAATCCCCGAAGCCTGGGGACACCATTCCCCCAGCTGTTGCAGGATTCAACAGACAGGATTCAGAGTTCCCCTTCTCTGGCCTGCCCACATTCAATTGCAAATGTGGAGAAGGTACCAAAGGATGGACACAATCATTTGTTACATGAAGTGTCCCAATATGATTGTGGTATTTGAGTTCTATCTTCCCAATCAGGACTTAAGCTTTTCAAATATCACAAGGGAACCCTGGGCACCTATAGGGGACCCAGACTGAGAACCACAACCCAACATGCTCCCAACCCAATTCACTTAATAATAATCTCTTTCTCAAACTATACAAACGAGGTACAAAACCCACCTGCTCGAGAGGTATGTCCCGATCCCCCATGTGGACCTTGCTGTCCGTCCTGTGAGCCACCAGGACGTGCTGGACGGAAGGGCAGCTCTCCACGGCTTTGTCCACGATCTTCTTCAGTTCCAACACGCGCCCTGCCCGCAGTGCTTGGTTGAAGGTGATGACCACCTTGCACTTGGCTGACAGAGACAACACATTTCTGATCAGTTTCCGCCCCACCTGACCCTCACACCTCGGACTTACAGCTCCATGTTCCAGGCCAAAGAGTGTGCTAGAGAAAGTCCAATCTTGAGTAAAAGAGCTGACAATAAAAGTGAGGGTCTACCTGCTTGGCAGCCCTTGTGTGCCATGCAGAAGCGCAAGGCCTTTCCCCAGCTCTGAGGATAAGGGGAGATAAATTACTTGGCTCAACTCTCCCTCCTGGGGTCAGCAGCACAAAGACAATTTCCCAACCAAGTGGCTACCTTTCCCTCCCATCTCCTGGGAGCCTTCCGCAGCAGAGGAGCTGTCGCCCCACCCACAGCAACCACGGTGGCAGAGCAGCACCACGAGGTGGAGACCAAGCAAGCCGGACAAGCAGAGGCCACACCCCAACAGTCCCACATAGCCAGGCCCTTCCAGGGTGAGCTGTGTGGGCCAAGAACCTGCACTACCCCGAGGTCAGCGCATGCCCTGGCGGATGCCCAAGAGCCACCTGCCCCACCCTCACTTCCAGGAAAGGGCGGCCTGGCTCCACACCGGCTCTTCAAAGACCAACCCCGGGGTGGTCAAGCTGGGGGACCCGAGCTTTTGCGGCTAACCACAGGTGAGGCCCAGAGCAGAGAATGAGGGGCACACGCACACTGGACCTCAGAGCCACAGGCAAAGGGGTTACCGCCCACACTGTGCCCTAATTCGGATGCCCCAGAGGGGTCAAGGCTGTGGGGATTTTCACAGGGACAGATACCCAGCTGTAGCACTGACTAGCAGGGCCTCACTCATGTCCCTTGGGCCTTTCAATCATTCTGCACCAAAAGCCTCTTCCAGAGCCATGGGCAGAAATGCTGGGGAATTACCCAGTGGCCCCCAAGAGCTGGAGTATAAATACTCCTACTCCCTGCCCCTCGTGTGCGGTGACCCGAGCAGGTGTGCTACCTCATCGCCCAGGTTCCCTGTGGAGTAGGCTCTGGTCACCCGCTGTGGCCTCCCTCCCCACTGCCCTACAGAGCTTCCCAGGACCATGCTCATCGAGGTCTCTCTGGGGTGGCCCTAACGAAGGCACCAGTCTCCCCCCGCCAGTCGCAAAGCACTTTCGAGCAACATGCCTACACTCCTTCTTCCTCCCAAGAGCCCCAGAGATGCCATGGCCTTGGGGGCCCTGCACTCCCCAGCGCAGGCCTTCGCAGCTGGAGGACCAGCAGGGCCACAGAGATACCCTGGACCTGCCAGGCACAGCCACCCCTGCCTGGGACATCAGGGACATCCCCAGGCGCCCTGGCCACACACACTCTTTGCCTTTTGGGACTTAGGGAAACCAAGTCAGGCAGGTGAAGCCCCTCAGAGGCTCTCCAGGCCTCCATGCCCCCCCGGGTTGGGTCCCAGGGAGCTTCCTGTGGGCAAGCAGGTGGATGATCCAGCAGGTAGAAATGAACCTTCCTCAGGGGATGAGATACAAAGGAAGCTCACAGGGGTCAGGACCCACCACAGAAAAAGCAGTGACCCCGGCCTGTGCAACACGCCGGAATCGCCTTACGCGGGTGGCAGTGCCTTCCCCGTCCCCACGGCACACGCCTCGCTCCTGGCGCACATCTGTCCAGGGGCTCCCCACCCAAGAGTTCCCCAGGACAGGTCCCCAGGAGGCACTCGGGGAGCAGCCGGGCACCACGAGCACATCTCACCCACTGGGGCCCTCCAAGGCGAGGCGACGGCATGGACACAGGCAGGAACCGCGCGCCACTGCGTCAGGGAGGATCTACTCTTCCCTCCCTGGTCTTGAGCAGGTACCAGCACTGAGTTCGTTTTCTGTTGCTCCCATAATAAATGACCACAAACTCAGAGGCTCCGGGCACCCATCGTTAGCTCACAGTTCTGTAGTCTGGGTGGGCTCAGCAGGGGTCTCTGCCTGGAGTCTCACACGGCCAAAATTGAGGTGTCAGAGGGCTGAGCCCCATCTGGAGCTCTGGGGGAGCTGGTGGTTGGCAGAACTCAGGCCCACGGGACTGCAGGACCAACGTCCTCTTTCCATTGCTGTCAGACAGCGCCGCTCTCAGCATCTAGAGCCACCACTCCCGGCTTGTGGTCCCTCTATCTTCAAAGCCAGCCACAGCGGGTCAAGTCCTTCCCACGCTTTGCATCTCTCCGACCTCCCCTTCTGCCTCATGTCCTCTGCCTCCAGTCGGAGAAAGTCCTGTGCTTTTAAGGGCTGTGATTAGATGGGCCCACCTAGATGTCCAGGCTCTGCTCACCATTTTAAGGTCCATCTCTTTACATCTGCAGAGTCCTTTCGCCATGCAAGGCGACAGGCCATGGGTTCCGGGGGATTCGGACATGGCCATCTGAGGGGGTCATTATCTGCCCCAAGAACATCTCTCAAAGCCACTCTCCTGACCGCTACCCTCCCCACCATGCCTCCCTCTCTCTCCACTCCTCACTCAGCCTAAAGCAAGAGGGAAGACAAAAGGAGGGTGGACGGTCAGAGCCCAGCAGCCAGGCCAGGGCTGGAACCCTGCAACGGCACAACTCACTGAGGTGGCCGCCAGCTCACGGTGACAGCCTGGCGGTCATGCCCACACAGAAGGTGGCTACACACTATTTCACCTGCTCTCATGAAGCAGTGGGATCCAGGTCCCCTCCTCCTGCATGTGGAATGGCCAGGGACTGGTATGCCCAGTGCAGCTTAGCAAAAGTGATGCTCTGGGTATGCTGGGCCTGGGCTTTAGGACAACTAGCAGTTTCTGCTTCTTCCTCTTAGAACCATGAGCCACCACGTAACAGCCTGCCTGCCTGAGGTCGCCTTGCTGTGAGGAAGCCCAAGTTAGCTATATGGAGAAACCACACGAAGAGAGAGAGATGCTTGGCCAGCCCTCAACCATTCAAGTCAACCCAGCTAATGTCCCAGACGTCATGGAGCAGTGAACAGCCATGCCCCTGTGCCCACCTGCTTCCTGCCCCACAGAATCATGAAATGTAATGATATAATTTACCGTTTTCAGCTGTTGTTTTATGCACTAAGTTTTGGAGTAGTTTTGTTACACAGCAACAGATACCCAAAACAGCCCCTCATTGACCCAAGAGGATACAGACCCCATCTCAATACAGTCTTGCCCCCAGGAAGGGGGCACCTGAAGAGTTGCACATGGTGGCTGAAACGTGTCAGGACAAAGTCCTCTTCATGACAAAGTCCCGGAGACACATTATAGGTGTGTCCCTGCTGAGGTCCTCAGAGCTGGCCCAGCCCCTCCCAGGGCCTGGCTGTTTAGGAGTCCTGAGGTTCTGGGAGCTGCCGCAGCAACCAGCTACTAAACCCCATATGTGTGAGCCACCCAGAGTTAACTGCTGCTTGTTTCAAAGAATCTTAACAGGAACACCTGGTAACCATGGCCATGCCAGCAAGAGGGAAGAGGGGCAGCCTAGAAAATGCTAAAAGCATGGACGCAGAATGCCTGTGTTCAAATCCTGGCTCTCTCACCTACTAGCTCTGTGACCTTGGGGAAGTCACTTAACCTCTCTGTGCCTGTTTCCTCATCTTTAACAAGTGAATAGTAACTTCCCCACAAAGAAAAGACCAGAACTAGATGGCTTCACTGGTGAATTCTACCAAATATTTGAAGAAGAAACTCTTCCAAACAAATTAAAGGAGAAGATACTACCAAATTCTTTTTAGGAGGCCAGCAATTACCCTGATACTAAAGTCAGACAAAGATACTACAAGAAACAAAAACTACAAACCAAAATCTCTTATTCACAATGATGCAAAAATCCTCAACAAAATGCTAGCAAATTGTATCCAGTAGCACGTTAACAGGATGATACACTATGACAAAGCAGATTTACCCTAGGAAGCAAGGGTGGTTCGACATGCAAAAATCCATCACCACAATACACCACATTAATAGAATGAAGTGGAAAAAGTACATCTCAACTGATGCAGAAAAAGTATTTAACAAAATCCAACACCCTTTCATGATACAAACACTTAACAAACTAGGAACAGAAGGGAACTTAACCTGATCAAGGGCATCTATGAAAGTCCACAGCTAAAGTCATACTCAATGATGAAAGACTGATGCTTTCTCCCTAAGATCAGGAATGAGACAAAGATGCCCACTTTTACCACTGTAATTCAACATTGTTACAGAAGTTCTAGCCAGAGCAATTAGGCAAGAAAAAGAAATTGAAAACATCCACATTGGAAAAGAAGAAGAAAAACTATCTTTACTCATAGATGACATGATCTAATGCATATAAGATCTTAAGTAAACTAAACCACAAAAAAACTATTCAAACTAATAAATCATCCATCAAATTTGTAGGACCACCATGCAAAACTTAGTTGTATTTCTCTATACTAGCAATGCACAATCTGCAAAGGAAATGAAGAAAACAATCGCATTTATAAAAACTTCAAAAAGAATGAAATATTTAGGAATAAATTTAAGGACACGTGAGACTTGTACACTCTGAATACTATAAAACACCACTGAAAGAAATTTTCAAAAGACCTAAATAAATGGAAAGATATTTCATGTTCCTGGATTAATATTAATATGGTAATACCGTCCAAATTTTCTAAAGATTCAATACAATCAAAATCCCAGCTGCTTTTTTTATTTTTTGAAGAATAGAAAAGCCCATCCTAAAATTCATATGAAAATGCAAGGGACCCAGAATAGCCAAAACAATCTTGAAAAAAGAGAACAAAGCTGGAAGACTCATGCTTTCCCATTCCAAAACATACTATAAAAGCTAGTGTCAAAACAGTTTGGCACTGAGATAAATGCAGACATACAGATAAACATATAGATAAATGGAACAGCATAGAGAGCACACAAAGAAGCCCTTACACATGTGGTCAAATCATTTTCAATAAAGATGCTAAGATATTCAATGAGAGATTATTCAAAGTTGTCTCTTCAACAAATGGTGCTGGGACCACTGGGCAGCCACAGGACAAAGAATGAAACTGGACCCTTACCTCACACACTATACAACAATTAACTCAAAATGTATAATATTAAATACTAAATGTAATTTTAAAAAGCTAAAATTATAAAATCCTTAGAAGAAAACACAGGAGCAAATCATCACAGTATTGGATTTGGCAGTGCTTTCTCAAACAATGCAGTAAAAAAGCACAAGAAATGAAAGAAAAAATAGATAAATTGGACTTGATCAAAATTTAAAACTTTTGTGTACCAAAGGATACTACAGAGAAAGTGAAAACACAATGCACAGGAGAAAATATCTGTAAATCATATATTTAATAAAGGTCTAATATTCAGAATATATAAGGAACTCTTAATCTCACCAATGAAAAGGCAAACAACGAATCAAAAAAATGAACAAAGAGCTTAAGTAGACGTCTTTCCAAAGAAAATATACAAATGGCCAACAAGCCCATTAAAAGGATGTAAAATAATAATAGTCATTAGGGCAATGCAAATCAAAACTACAACAAGATACCACTTCATTCTCAATATGATGGCTGTAATTTTTTTAATGAAAAATAACAAGTGTTGATGAGAATGAAGAGAAATTGGAGCTCTCATACTTTGCTAGTGGGAATATAAAATGGCGCAACTCCTTTGAAAAACAGTTTTGCAATTCCTCAGTAAGTTAAACATGCAATTGCCATATAAGCCAGCAATTTTATTCCTAGGTATATACTAAAAAAATTGAAAGTAAGTGTCCCTGTAATAGCACCTCTACTTACAATAGCCAAAAGGTGGAAATAACCCAAATGGCCATCCAATGATGAATGGGTAAACAAAATGTGGTATATCCATACAGTGGAATATTATTCAGCTATAAAAAAAGTAGTGCTGATATATTCCATAACAAGGATGAATGGCTGCTTAATGGGTATAAGGCATCCATCGGGCATGAAAAAGTTCTGGAACTAGATAGTGATATGGTTGCACAACATTGTGAACGTACCTAATGCCACTGAATTATACACTTTAAAATGGTTACAGTGGTAATTTTAAAAGGGGGAGAATAATAATAAGAGTATTATTTCATATAATACTCACGAGGACTAAGGCAAATTAAAGGCGATATAACCTGTGCAAAGCACTCAGAACAGTGCCTGGCGCACAGTAGATGTTATAAGGGTTTAAAGAGAGGAAGAGAGAGAGGGGTGGCAGCCTCAACCCTTCAAAATGGAGGGAGAAACACTGAAAGGGAGTGGAAGGGCTTTCTAGCCTTTTATCCAGAGGGTACTCAGCAGGGTTCTGAGAACTCGGTCCATTAGCTGTTTACCACCCACAGGCAGTCTTCTATGAGACACAAGAACTCTCAATGGCCTCCAGAACCTAGCATCTTCCTTGGGAAGCCGGTTCAGGGGATTCTCTCTAAGGGAGAGCAGGAAGCAGGAATCAGACTACACCGATATGGGGCCACCCATCAATCAGACACTTGGTCCTCTGGCAACAGCAAAAGCAAGAAGACACTACTGTTCTACACACTGTCCAGGAGACACTGACCCACCTGCAGCCAGAAATCCTTAAAGATACACCACATGCTCCCCTCACCTGACTCCAGGCCTCTGAAGATGGTCAACCTCTTCACTCCTCATAACAGAAGGATTCCAGCTGTTGGCCTGTGAAATCTTCCATTCACCTCCAGCCTCATCACACCCTGCACACTCCTTCCCTCCTGCACTGCACCATGCCAGCCGTCTCCACACCACTTGGCCTGGACCTCTGCTGTTCCCTCCACCTGGAACTCCCCCCTCCCTTCTTCGCCTGCCTAAGTCCAATGCACTCAGATCTCAGCCCACAGAACAAATGCTCATTCAGCCACATGCCTGTCCCTAGTAGCATCTATCATTTGCCTGTGTGACTTTTAATTAATGTCTGTCTCCACTCTGATGGTCTCCACCCTAACGGCCAGGCCCCCAGCAACAAGGACCAGCGGACACCCGGGTTCCTCCCTCCCTCACCCCCTGCTCACCATCATTGATTCTGCCAGCCAAGGACTCTGCACTGAAGCCAGCAAAGATGACTGTGTGGACAGCTCCGATCCTAGCACAGGCCAGCATTGATGCCACAGCCAGTGGGGACACAGGCATGTAGATGGCCACACGGTCCCCTCGGCGGATTCCATGCCGCTTCAGCGTGTTGGCCAGGCGACATGTGGTCTCCAGCAGCTCCCTGCAGTACAGGGAAGAGAAGGCCATCAGAGATGAGGGAGGGCCAAAACGCAGAATAGTCTGGGGAGGAACAATTCTGCAAACTGCATGTGCCGTCCACCTAGCCCAGAGCAGGGAGGATAACAGACATTTGAATACTTGCTGTGCGGAAAGTTCTTTTGCAGAAAGAAATGTTTTTAACAGTTGTAGATTCACTGCCCATTACTGAGGTTATATAGCTGTGCTGTGTCCATTTAGAGCAGGGTTTCTCAGAGACCACCAGTGTCCGAAGCACAGATCAGTATATTCCCGCAACTTCTGAAAACGTTCACCTCCAAAAGACATATCTCAAAAGTAACACATTAAGTGGGGAAAGGGCAGGCCCAGTTTTCTGAACCAACACAGGCAAGGGCCCCAGGCCCAGGTAGGACAGATCCCAACTCTGCGAAGCCACAGTGAGTCCGGAGGGAAGGCGACAGCCAGAACAGCCACCTCCGTGCAGCCCTGAGGGAGCACTGGTGGCTAGAGCAATCACCCCAAGTCTCTCCCCAGGCTGAATGGACTCGGGGAACAGAAAGACATGGCGCCTGCCACTGCTGCCAGGCGCCCACGCCCAAATCCACAACCAGGTGGTGTGGGTGTGGCCACCCCACTCACCACGGTCGGGCCTATCTCGAGGTTTGGTCCCCCAATCAGAGTCCAGCATCCCTCTGGGCAAACTGATTGGCTTGGCGTTGACACATGATCCAACCCAGCCCAGTCAGGGCTAATAATATTCAACTCTAGGAGAACTTGAGAGCTGCACGGTTGTCCTTGTGGGGCCGGAGGTAGAGACAGTGGGAGCAATGCCAGTGTTGTTTGGCTGAATCCAGACTTAACAGGAGGTAGAGACAGTGGGAGCAATGCCAGTGTTGTTTGGCTGAATCCAGACTTAACAATTGCATTATCGAGTCATTTTCCATTGTTTGCTGTACGTGGTTTGATCTTAATTATTTGCAATAAAAAGAACTAATACAGAACATAACAAGAGGGGAAACCAAAGCTCCTTCCCTGTGGGTTGGGGCGGGCCACCAGCCGGGCTCCCCTGCCCTCTGCATTGCTCCAGGAGGCCCCAGCAGCGCAGCCCTGCCCCTCCTTTGCCAGCCCTGCCCCTCCTTTGCGTTCTGCAAGGCCCCTTACAAGCGTGTTTGCATAGTTCCCCTGTGTTCAAAGGGTAGTCAAGGAGAGCTCCCAAGAACAGCGAAGCTCTGCTAGAGGCCGCCCAAGAAACCACAGTGGAACGAAAATGAACGGTCCCCATCTCAGGCAGGGACCTCAATGAGGCCTTTGTTTCTTCCCGAAGCCATTCTGCGAAAGAGACGAGTTGAGAACCAAATCACAAGTTCAGCCTGCAGTTCGCCCCACCGCCAGAGCCTCCTGCCCAGGCTGGCTCCTGCGCGCCTCTTCCGCTGGGTTTCATCTTTTCTCCTTAAAGCTTTCAGGAGGGGACAAAGGCGCCCCCCTTACCCGTAGCTAAATTTATGATGAAAGAACGCCCTCTGACAGTCCCTAACGCCAAACTCTACAGAATCCAGGGCCATAACTTTAAAAAATATTAACGAAGCAGGACGCACAGGAGCCTTTGCCGAAAATTCAGTAGGTATTCTCTTTCCTATTAGATGGAAACTTCCAGAAATCTTTGTTTTAAGTCATTTTCTAAAATGACAAAACCCAGCTAACTCCCATGAATTCCTAAGATGTTAAAAATCCCATTCTAGCCCATGGGGGTGAGTTGGCTGTTGGCATTGGACAAAAGAAGTGAGACAGAAAGAGTCCTCCAGGAGCACAGCTCTGACTGGGGAAAAGGAGGCACGTGTGAAGGTGTGCAGGGCTTTGAGCATCTCTGCTTGCTGGTATGGTCACTGAGGGCAGCAGGGAAGGGCAGCAGGAAGAGCTTCTTGGACAGGTTGGCTGGGGGTATCAGGATTGAGGCAGAAGGGAATGAGGGGATTTTCTCTACAGGAGAAGTTGCCCAGCTATTGGAGTTGTACAACTGAACTACAGTCTTGAGGGAGGGTCTAAAGACCAGGCCGAGGCTGACCATGTGTTCCTTGGAGGACCAAGGGTCCTCAACATGTGCCCAGGAGCTGAAGCAGGGTCTGGTGGGTCGCACACTCTTGCTGCTAAGAGGCTTCTGATAAAGAATTTCATCCAGGTAAATCTCAGAGCTTGATCCACTTCCTACTTACTCTCTCAAGGCCATAAACCTTGAGGTGGAAGGGATCCTGCAAGGTCAGGCGGTGCAGCCTCCCTGGAGTTCTGGCATCGGCTGCCACATTCCAGCCTGCAGCAGCAGCAGTCCAGCCACTGCTTAAACGTCACACTGCCAGAGGTCACCTCATGGGGCTGCCTCTTTATTTGTCATTTAATAGGAAAAGAGCCTACCTAAAATTGGACCAAGATTTGCAGATCTTCAAATTCCACCCCTTAGTCCTAACTCAGCCCTTTAAAGCTGCCCAGAATAAATCTAGTTTGTCATTCAATGACAGCTCTTCAAATTCCCAAATACTCTCCCCATCCCCCCACCCCATCCTCTTCAAAGCCTTTCCCAGATTACCAAAGGGACCCCCACATTCCTATGGTATCTACCCAGAGCAGAATATGGGTACCTAGACCCTTGACCTCAACTCTATATTTAATCATGTAAATTAAGAGCATATTAATTTTTCAATACCAGACAGAGGTGGCTGAAATTCAACATGAGGTCACTAACACAACCCCTTCCCACCCCCAATATAAGTAACAGATCCTCTTTTACTAGGGCCTTATAGTCATGGAAGTGTTTTTTTTAAAAAACAGACATTCCATTTATCCATATCTCAATTTCTACTTATCTTTCCAGCTAACCCACTATTTTTTAAACTCAGATTTTTCATTTTAAACTCTCATTTTTCATTTACAATCTCCTAAAGACTTGTATAGTTGGAAAATATGGTCAAGAAACCTATGTCTTCAAATTGTTGAAAAATAAATGTGCAAGTGATTGTCATTCCACATACTCATGAATGGTTTAAATGCATGTTCTTGGATATTCATGACTTCTCAAAGACTTCCACAAACCAAAAGGCTACTGTTTATGCATCAATAAGAAAATGCAGTCACTCAGTGAGGAGAGCTTTGAGCCAGAGCTGCAGAAAACACTGGCTTCCTCGTTGCCTGAAGAATCTTACTTAGCAGCCCAGGGGACTTTCCAAAGCATGGGAACCTGCAGCTTTCTGAGTCATTAAAATGATTTAGAGTTTTATTTTTAAGTTCAAAGAGAAATATAACAGTTCTTTTTCTTTTTTTTGAGACAGAGTCTCGCTTTATTGCCCAAGCTAGAGTAAGTGCTGTAGCATCAGCCTAGCTCACAGAAACCTCAAACTCCTGCGCTCAAATGATCCTCCTGCCTCAGCCTCCTGAGTAGCTGGAGCTACAGGCATGCGCCACCATGCCCAGCTAATTTTTTCTATATATATTAGTTGGCCAATTAATTTCTTTCTATTTATAGTAGAGACGGGGGTCTCGCTCTTGCTCAAGCTGGCCTCGAACTCCTGACCTTGAGCAATCCACCTGCCTCGGCCTCACCAGAGTGCTAGGATTACAGGCGTGAGCCACCACGCCTGGCCAACAGTTCTTGTTCGGATACTGAGCAGGGTATTTAAGTTTGTCTGCAATGTTGACTCTTCAGGGCCAAGCTTTCAGTGTGGGCATATACAACTAAAGTGAACAAAAATACAAATTTGGCCTTGTATTTCTGGTGCTTAATACCAGTAAAATGTTGCTGACTGGCCTTGAGAGAAGGAAGAAGACCTTCTATGACCAACTCTTAACATCAGCAGAGAATGATGCTAAAGATACAGTCTACCTGTATCTAACTTTATCTGACGCTAAAGATACAGTCTAACTGCAAGCAATTTGTAACCAACATGCTACCTAAACTCGGATGACATAAATGGACCCCCTGCCCTCTAGCGTCAGAATTTAAGATTAGTTCAAAACAGGAAACAGCTGGAAACAAAATTCAGAGAAAAGAGAGGAAGAAATAATATACTACTATTTATTCATCTACCAATCAAAGCTGCTTTTTCATGGTTACTATTTGAAAATACCTTTCCCTCCTAAACATTTCCCAATGAGAGCCCAAAGTAGTAAGGTGGTCATCTGTGTGTGTGTGCTTAATAAATAAATTGAGAATGCATGATTTCCTTGTGTCCTACAATTACTCTGGCTCTCAGTGTTCATGAAATACACACTAGCTAACAGACTTACCTTCCATGACGTCCATCTGCACTACTAGAGTGCAAAGTCTACTTGGCCAGAGATTTCGGTTTTGTTTATTGCCTTCCCAGCATCTAAACTAAGCCTACCTCATAAAAGGTACTCAATCCATGTTTGTTGAGCTAATTGGCACAGCAGGTAAGTGTGAAATGAGAAGCCAGCAGGCACAGGGCAGCTGGAGCCCATGCTGTCAACTGAATGAGGGCCATTCTACAGAATCCTGCATCCTCCTGAATGATCCAGAATCTTGCATCCTCCTGCCCCCGAGAGGGGCCAAATCTGCTGTCACCTCAGCATCACACTGGCATGAAAATGTTCTGCGCTTTTGAGAAGCAAATGGGTAGGACCACCTCCTCTCATAAACCAGCTCACAGATACTTTTCATTTTCTTCTGCCAGTAAAGGAAGTAAACCCAGGTAACCATGTCGATATGTGAGGGCCTGTGACAGACACAAAGCGTGTGTGTGATGTGGGTGTCAGCTCCACAGTCCAGACGCAGAGCTTGAAAGGACACTCCTACGCTGTCTCTAGAGTTTTATATTTTCCTCAGTGCACTGTTTCTGGAAGGTAGAGGTGGCGAGAGAAGAAAGGTCCGCTTTAGGGAAGGGACACGTGGCGGGACAGCCCCCTGCTCACACAGGAAGAGTGTTTAGGGCCACGTGGCACAGACAGAACCGGCCTGGGGAACAGACTCCTTCCCTCCTGGCAGGCTCCTCTGATGAT